TTTCAGATTTTGGCTTTTGTAAATAAGGCTGCTGTGATCATAGAGGGGCATAGATATTTGTGGATTTATTGATGATAGCCATTCTGAAAGGTGTGTGGTTTGGATTTGTGTCTCTCTCTGATGATTAGTGATGTTGAGCATCTGTTCCTATGTCTACTGGCCATCGATGTGTCCTCTTTGGAGAAGTGTCTATCTAGGTCCTCTGCCCAATTTTTTTTTATTGAATTGTTTTGGGGGTTTTGGTGCTGAGCTTTATAAGTTCCTTATAAATGTTGGACAATAAGCCCTTATCAGATGTATTGGCTAATAGTTTTCCATTCGGTGAGTTGTCTTTTCATTTTGTTGATGGTTTCCTTTGCTATGCAAAGCCTTATCATTTCATCCTTACGCCTTCATTTAGAAAAAAATTCTATTGTTTAACTAATCATTCTTAATTGACTGTTTTTAATTAAACCATAGTTGGCATACAATGTGATATTAGTTTTAGATGTGCATCACAAATATGATATTTATTATTGACTATCTTCCGTTCCCCTTCTCACCTAACCTCCCTTCCCTCCTGTTTGGCAATAATCAGTTTGTTATTTATTTCTATGGGTTCGTTTTTGTTTCATTTGCTTTGAGGATGTGAAAAATCCCAGAGATAACTGTGATCTTTCCTTGTCTGAATCATTTCACGCAGCATAATGCACTCTACGTCCATCCATGTTGTTCCAAATGGCAGTATTTCATTCTATTTTTGGTTGGTTTACATTTCAATAGAGGCCCAATGCATGAAATTCGTGCATCAGAGTGGGGGTGGGGGCTGGTGGTACCTCAGCATGGCCTGCACCCTCTCACAATCCAGGACCACTGGCTCCTAACCACTAACCTGCCTGCCTGTTTGATCACTCCTAACCGCTCTGCCTGCCTGATCACCCCTAACAGCCTCTGCCTCGGCCCCTGCCACTGAGACTTCATCCAGATTGATGTTGGGAAGGTCATTCTGCTGTCCAGTCTAATTTGCATATTATGCTTTTATTATTACAGAAAATGCATACTAGCCACATCTTTATCATCTAGTTTTCTATGGATCTAAAGTATCAACGCAATGTTTTGTTTTTCTAAATTCTTGACATAATAGATTAGGCCATTGATTTTTTAAGGTTCTTAATTTTATTATTTCATAGGTTTGATGCGTCATATTTACATTACAATTCCAGTTAAAACATTCACTTAGTTCACACGTTGATTATTGGGAAGTCTGTTACTTTGATTTCCAAATGTAGAGATATTGGCTTTTCTTTGACTATAGAATGAGGTGACTCCCTGAGAGTCCCAGGGGCAAATCAGGTCTCCATGGGTGGTGGGGCACTAGCCAAGTGTCCATAGGGGTAGCTTTCCTGCCTTCTGGGGTCCCTGCATACCCCTTCGTGGAGTGTGGTGGTCTGTGTCCATCTTGAGCTAGCGGATGGCTAGAGCAGCATACACACTGGGGGCTCCTTTGATGGGGATAATGGGGGTGCACTTGTCTGTTGACTATGGGCCAATAAGTTCAGCTGTGCGTAGGGCACATCCTGGGGGGCATGAGATGCAGCAGCCTGGAGCAGGGGGAGAGAGAGAGATGAAACACGGTTTGGGTTTGAGAGCCTTAGGGCCTGGGGAGGATGGGACTCACCTGACTGTCCATCTGTCTGTCCTCTTCTGATTGTCTGTCCTTCATGTCCAAACATTCCCCTGATAGGAAAGGAAGAGAGGTGGTCATTCCCTGCCTGAGTCTTGTTGGTGAGCAGTTCACCTGGGAATACAGACTCCCTGGGGGCCTTCATCCTGCCTGTTCTGATGGAGAGAGGCCATGAGACAGAACAGTATCTCCTTGATTTCACTGTTGAAATCCTCCTGTCACTTATCTTCATGTTGCCATATCCAGCAATAAATTAAAAAGATCACATACCATGACCAAGGAGGATTTTCTCTGGAGATGCAAGGATGGTTCAATATTCGCAAATCAATAAACGTGATACACCACATAAACAAAATGAAGGATAAAAATCACATGACCTTATCAATAGATTCTGAAAAAGCACTTGTGAGAATGTTTCATATTCATGAGGTTGAAAAGGATGAAAGATGACCTTACCTCTGTCCATCCGTGCTGCCAGTGAGTGTACTCTTCCTATGTTTTCTGATTTGAGATTCTGGGGAAATCTTTTTCTCAGCTCAACTTCCCCTTCTATTTGGTTTCCAGTAGCAGATGCTCTGAGCCCCCCTCCTGTGAACCAGAATCACCCCCTTCCCTACTCACCTGAGGTTCTGCCTTTGCTCTGATGCCGATGTCGGAGGAGGAGGAAGAGAAGAAGGGAGAGTAGCAGGACCAAGGCCACCAAGACCCCTATCCAGTACCATTTGAGACCTAGGACAATAGTGACCTCATGAATGAGCCAATGATGCCATTTAGTGAGCACCTACTGTGTGTGAGGCACATGCTGGGATCTGTCATGTATCTCCTCTCACTTCACAGCAGTCATGCACCAGGAATTGCTGACCCAACCACCCACTTCACGGAGGCTCAGAGAAGTTAACCACATGCCCCAGGTTACCCAGCCTGGATGGGGCTGGGCAGGGACTGGAACCCGGGACTGTGGGTTCCCTGTGCTGGCCTCACAGCCCCACCCCCACATCCCAGGTGGACACCAGCTTTGTTCTCTGGACTCCTCCTCTGCAGGGGCCTGTCCAGATCTCATTTGGAGTTGAGGGTCCTTCCTCATTCCCCCCCCCCAGAACAGCAGGGACAGGGATGGGCGGGTTGTGGGGTGGACTCTGAGTCTCTCCTGGATCCCTCTCCACCCACAAGTCTCTGACAGCCCTCTAGTAAGGTCGGTTTGGGCTTGGGGCCCTGCCTTCTTGAGCTCTGTGAGGCCCTTCTGGCACCTCATCTCCCAGCAGCCTGTGAACAGGATGGGACCAGGGATGAGCAGACAGGAACCTGACACTCAGAGGAGAGAAAGGACTACCCAGCTCCACAGCAGGAGCAGCAGAGACAGGAGCTGATCCACCCTGTTCCGTCCTCTGAGCTGAGCCTGAACTGAGGGGTAGGACTGGATGGCTGGGTCCTTGTCCTGCCTGTCCCTCCCTGTACAGTGTCACGTCACTGAGACAGAGGGGACAGTCCCCATAACACCATGTCCCGGGGGCTTCCCTGTGAGGCCCCTCTCCCATGAGGCCAGGGCCAGAACCAACAGGAAATCTAAGCTCTGGACAAGAATTCCCTCCTTTTACACTTGAAGACACTGAGGCCCAGACAGGGGAAGGGCATGTCCACGTCACCTCTTCCAGAAGGGCCTGTAGCGCCGAATGGCTCAGCCCTTGTGCCCCATAGAGAAACCCACCTCCTCCCCACAGAGCCTGTCATTTACCCCTCTGTGTGCCTGACACTGTGGGTAGGAGAGACCGATGCCTCAAGCCTCCTGTGGATGAGAATGGGGCAGGAGGGTGGAGGCTGCCTTCTCCCCAAATGAGACCACGTTCAGCTCACCAGCCTGCGCCCCCACATCTCCCTCTGCCATGACCACTCCACCCATCAAGTGCCTCAGAGCCTGGGACTCCCAGTCCCCCTGGAACACAAGCACGTCCTTGAGGATCTGGGTCATTCGATCCCCTGACAGACTCTCAGGATTTGCTTGGGGGGCTGTGTTCCCTCTGAGCAGAGCTCCCCAGGACTCACCACCTGTGGACATGGGCCTTGTTGATGGGGGGCTGGGGCCTCCAGAGGGTCCTGGAAATGAGGACAAGAAGAGGGTGAGAGGCTTGGGCTGAGCCTGCACCCCATTTCACACAGACACCCTCTTACATCTGTGCTGTGGCCCCTGAGGCCATCCCACTGCTCCAGTATCCAGGTGAGGGGAAGAAGGAGGGATGGGATGAGAGGCCTCTAAAGAAAAGATCTCCTAGGGGTGACCATCCCGAGAGCCTCTCACCCCAGATTCAGCCCAGAATACTTCGGGGGACAGGACCCTAAGTTGACAGCTCAGCAGACAGGTCAGGGGCCCTCACCTGAGACCAGGAGCTGCAGGGGCTCACTGGGGTGTGACAGCAGGAAGGGGGAGATGCTGTGTGCTCTGTAGCACCTGTAGGTGCCCCCGTGGGCTGAGGTCACAGGACTCATGGAGAACTCTGCCTGGTACTGCCAACCTTGGTGTTCTGATCTCAGATGCAGGGGGAGACCAGCTGCCCCATCTTTCGACAGAAGGAACGTGTCCCTCCAGCTTTGGGACTGACACAGCAGGGTCACATTCTCTCCTGAGGCCACCCTGGGGCCTGGCTGCACCGAGATGGAGGGTCTGTCAGACAGGTGTCCTGGAGAAAGAGAGGGAGGGTGAGGGCTGCCTGCCCACCTTGTTCTGCCCTGAGAGTCACCAGGCCTCTCTCTGAGGTCCTTACTCTCTATCTGACTCGGTTTCTCTGAGTCTCCCCCTCTCCCCACCTACCCCCTGCCTCTCTCTCTGTCTCCCTCCCTCCCTGGGCCCTGCACTCTCATTCTGGCCTTTCTCCCTGAGACATCAGCAGGGCCTGTGCAGAGTCCAGTCCCTGAGAGAACCCACTGGGTCCTCACCTGCCACCAGGATTTCCAGGGGGTCACTGGGGGCTGACCACTCAGAGGAGAGGTTGTATCCACCGTAGCATCTGTACCGGCCCCCGTGGGAGCTGCTCACAGTGTCCAGGGGGAAGTGGGCCTGAGAGAGCCCAGCCTGGGGCTGCAGGATAAGGCTCTGGGGGAGGTCCCGTCTCCCCTCCTTGTGCAGAGCGAATCTGTCATAGCCGACATCAGAGCGACACTGGAGGGTCAGGTTCTGTCCAGAGGCCACAATGGGGCCCTGCTGGCTCAGGAGGTTGGGCTTCCCAGACTCACCTGGGGAGACCAGACATGAATTGCAGGGGGTGCTCCTCCCATAACCCTCTTCTCTTGGCCTGGCCCCCAGATCTTACTGTCTCTCTGTGTCTCTGGCCCAGAAGCCCATGTAAGCCTTCACCCCACCTTCTCACATGGGGCTCCACTCCCAGCAAACATGCCAACAATGTATCAGGTGCCTCAATCCTTGGATGGGACAATAATGGGCCTCACCTGAGACCAGGAGCTCCAGGGA